TCGGTCTTCAGACTTATCCATAATTTCACTTTGGTCCTTACATTTTCCTTTATTTGCACTTTGGCACTTATACTTATTTAAATTATCTTTTGGTCCTTCCACTTTCAAAACCAGCTTGGGCCAACAACTCAGACACAAATTTCCAGAAATCGAAGCATCTTAAAACTTTACCTTAATATTGGTCCGAAATCCTGGGTGAAGCTGCCAAAGAGAAATAACCAACTCAAACAACACTTGAAAACTAACAAAAGCTTGTTTCAGGTGTACCACTGCCGAAAAGACTTCTGAACAACCTTCATGAAGGAAGTATTGTCATCTGAGCAAGGCAAAAGTGACATACAAGAGTGAATAAGGTACTGTACAGTAATAACAGCAGAATACGAGGAAGTGACGAACATGCTTACCACAGACATAGCTAGAGTAGTTGGATTGCTCTGATTTTTGGGTATGTCATAGTTGTCAACTGAGGATTAAAGAAGGACATTTTGTCAAACGAGCACCGGAGATTAAAGAAAACTGATGAAAACAGAGCTGCACAAAACTCACCAGCCATGGATGAACACAGAAATTTCATAGCCGGTTCGAGGTAGCTAGACCCGTCTGATGATGCTCATGTTTGGGTATGATATAGTATTCGAACAGACGAACAACTTTGATGAAGAAAGTTTGCTGATTTGAGCTTTCGAAATCAGACTTCTAGAGTGATGAATAATACCCACGAGTTAGGGTTTTCTGAAGAACAAGATGAACGTTGACCCAAAAAGGAGAAAAATGAAAGAGAAAAGGAACAAAAGAAGAACAAAACAAAGAAAGTGTCGGCAGCCTTACCCAAAATTTTCAAAAGAATGTGGCCAGCCCGCGTGTGAACAGTACCCACTAGTTGAATGATGGTTACAACTTACAACAGAGAAAGTCACATGTATTTTTCGCAACTTTTCCCCAAGATGGAGGTAAAGATGAAGTTATGAGTGAACAAAACTTTTCACCTCTGCATTTTCCTCATTTCAGAATCTCTAGTCAAAATCTTTCAGTCTGTTTCAATGAAACTGTTTCTCATTTCAGCATACAAACACCATTTCCTCATCCAAAATGAAAAGATGTCATCAAACTCGTCTGGTGCCCTTTCCATAATGTTGCTAGTTTCCGTAATTCTCTGCGCTCTATAAAATGAAAGGAACGGTATTGCATCATCTTTGCTAATATTAGCTTCAATGAAGTTATTGACGAAAGCAGAGCATGCTTGATGAAACGAGCTACCTTGTGAAAGAACAAAATGAATAATAGAATAAAAGGAGAAAAGAGAAACTCATCCTTCGAAACTGTAAATTCAATCAGATTTATTTTTAATGTTACCAAAAAAACAATAAAGAACTTTTTCTTTTCAAGAAGTATTATTTTAAACAAAGTATTCTTACTTGTACCGTTTTAAAAACATATTTTTACTTGTATAGGTTTAAAAGTTAAAACCATTGGTAAAAATGCACTATCGAAAGAAAAAAAAAACTCCTAATACGAGGCTTATGCCCACCGCTCGTGCCCTACTTGGGACTTATTGTTTGGATAAAGGACTCACTGTTTGGACACCAAGAGAGAGAACCGACAAGTAACCTGAAGAAATAAAAGGAAGTGGAAGAAGAAACTAAGGACTTTCAACTCAGAAAAACCTAAACCAGCCACTTGGGTTGGATGAGTTGCGACTTAGACAAAAACTTACAACTCTTATGGCTCTGATACCAGATGGGAGAAATAGAACAAGCAAAAGAAGAAAAGCAAAAGAATTTTTTTATAATTTGCAGGTGTCTGAACGATCGTCGTGTTCAATTAAACCAATCCTCCATTGTTTTCTTCCGATGGCACAAAGAAGACGTTGATCTTGATGAAGTTTGATTCATCCACCTCACAAACCCATGCAGCACAGCGTGCTTCCTTTCTGAACTTCAAAACAAGATGAAGATGCCAAGCCACAGGGATGGAGTTTCTAACTCGGGAGAACTGATTTGACCATCAATTAATCAAGGGCATGTTGTTGCTGATAATTTCAGATATTTATTAGTAACTAGAAAGACTTTGATAGTCCTCTTTAATGAATTGATGATTGAATTTTAAGTCAGGTACTGTTTCTAATTTGATAGCGGGACCAATTTGGATTTGTGGTTTTTCTTTTCCTTTCTACTTTTGAGATTTTCCTTTCAATCACAATTTTGGCGGGATCTTGATCGTGGAGCCAATTACAACCTTTGGATCATCTCATTGTATTGATTGAAAATACAGGATACCTACACTACACTACGTTGCATTGCATCACAGGAGATTCCCTAACGCACGTAGGCCACTTAAACTGTCCTTATTTTTTATCGCTTAATGTTTGTGTCGTAAGTTTGCATCTGCAGGCCAGGTTTTTAGCATTATTCAGACCATGTATTTTTTTGGTCGTTAGATGGATCGTTGAGATTACTTGATGGATACATAGAAGAAAATATGGTAATATATTTTTAAATTAGATTTTTTTAATTTTATATAGGAGTCGGAAAATGAGTAGGTTTATGTTTAGTTACACGGATCTTTCTATTAACAACTTTGGTTAATTTATACATCCACTTGCCCCAAATTAAACTACACTTAACTTTCATGCTTGTAATTGATTAAGTAGATACCAACAGTTGAGCCAAACATCCAAAGATTCAATGAAGGTCCAAATAAATCCAGTTTTATAATACAACTAAAGATAATAACTAAATTATCTAATCAAAGAGATGCAATGGCAGGATATGAGGAACATTAACCAAAAACATGTATAATCAGTGATGAAAGCGACAGAAACGAAATTGGTATGTCATGGTATCTTGTAGATGTGCACCGCAACATATCATGTAGTCTTGTCCCTAGCTTCTTGGCTTCTGATGATATTCTTCTCAAATTATTATGCAAAATAAAGAATATAAAATTATTATCCATGATTAAAATAGAAAATGCATGTAATGGATATTATGCAAGTGCTGTTGGAAAAATATTAAGGGTTAAGTACTACTTCAAAAAATGATGTCATCCTTAGAAGCATTTTAACGAGCCATATATATAGCTTAAACACGTGGAGATGGACTAATCCAGTTTTATAATTGTTTCCCTCTTTTCGGCCTAGGCAGCCAACGGAAGGAACTTTTGGTCCTTCTTTGGATGCGGGGCGTGCCACCACCAAACCCCGAATTTGGGCTTAAATGGAATGTGAATAGATGGATATGTTGCGCTTCTAACTGACCAAGCGATTGATCGGCCAAGCAAGGAACCTCCTCTTGGCCTAAATTCTTTCACTTTCTCGGGCTCGAGAATGGTTAGGTTTCGTATGCATGTGTTTTGTGATTTTTATGGTTTTAAATAAAAATAAAGCAATTAAACTAAATATGCGTATAAACGTAAAGACAAGAATTGAAATGCGATAAAATAAATCAAAGCGATAAATAAAGCAAGAACAGAATAAAAGCGATAAGAACGATAAGAACGAAAAGGAAATAAACTTGAAATTAAATTTAATCGAAGTGCGATAACAATTAAATGTAAAGGAATCGAAATAAACTTGAATTGAAATGACAAGAAATATAAATTGGACAAGAATTTAAATGACAAGGAAAATATAAACTTACACTAGAAAAAGGAAGGACTCACTACACTAGGTGCTTGAAAAATAAAATCCTAAGTCTAGGAAAAGAAAAGTGCGAGACGAAAGATAGGTTTGTTTGTCTGATGTTGTGTGTCTGATGCCTTCGTCAAGCAAGGTTTATATAGGGCACTCGTCAGCTCATGGGTTGGCCATTGAATGGCCAAATGTCGACTTTTCTTAAAAACTTCTTTCCTTCCAAAGCCCCCCTAAATCCGTAAGATTGCATTGATATTCTGACATGCTTGATTCTTCCTTGTTTTGGAACACTCGGAGTTATTATAAAAACTCCCTTGATTTCTTTCCTTGTGAGGCCCTCCGTCACGTGCATGTAATCCTCCGAAAATCTGGGCAATAATCGTTGGCTTAAACTTGGATATCCTATTTCTCTTACATTGTCATCCATATAATATATATATATTAAATTCCAAATATATATATATATATTTATATAAAAACACAAAATAGAGTAAGGAAAGTCTGAACTTTCCAGTTTGGCCGCACATGCACATTCACCTATTAATATATATACTTGTCCATATATATAATATATGCTAATATAATATATTATATTATTATTATATATATATATATATATAGGGCAATGATTTCTCCACTCTTATTTTATCCACTTACACTCCTTTTTTATAACTCAGGTGGTGAGAGCAATGATAAAAGCATGGATGACTTGCTTTAACATTTGCTTTCGGCAACTTTGTAAGCAGAATACAATTTACACTTTCAGTTTTTTAGAGATTCTCTCTAAACAATCTTAGAAGAATCATCTTTGTAAACACTGAGAGATTGTGTTCGAAGAGTTGCATAGTTGCTGTTGTGAGTACTTTGTGAGTATAAATAAAAATTGCTATTTTCAGTTATCTATTTTGATTAAGTTCATATAAGCATTATTTTAACTGCATCATTTTAATTGCATCAGTTGCTTCTTCTTCTATCTCTGGTTCTCCCCTGTTTTGACTGCGGGGTTTTCAACTGATAGGGATGACTACTGAATGACTCTTGGCTTATAACTCTGTGTATATAGAGGGAATGATAAAGGATGATCTCAGGATGATCTCGATCCCTTATCGGCTTAATTTC